TTTGAATTTGGTACTATATAAGTCAGTACCTACTACTCCCACAGAACTATGGACTGGGCGTAAGCCTAGCTTGTAACATGTTTGAATTTGGGAGAGTCTAGCACATGTGCTAAAAGGGACAAGAGTAAGTTGGAATCAAGAACAAAAGTCTGCTTATTTATAGGGTATCCAAGATAAACAAAATATGGTATTTTCTATAGTCTTAAGGATTAGAAGTTCATTGTTAGCACTAACTCTAGATTCTTAGAGGAAGACTACATGATGGATCACAAGCCAAAAGTAGAATTGTTCTCGAGAAGTTGAGAGGAGATAAATCAGGGAATACTTCTTCAATACCAACTGTACAAGAGGAAACATCCCATGAAAGAGTAAACAATCTTTCATTGGCTCATCGTAGTGGGAGAAATATCGATACTTGTGCAGAACCTACACAACATGTCATTAATGATATACAAATGCAAGTAGTGCCTCGTTGTAGTGAGAGGATTATTCGTCAACCTAAACGGTATACATTATTGTGAGTATCTTTTGACAGAATCCCTGAGGAATAGAATGTCGATCATTAGACCTACAATTAAAGCACTCCAAGATAAAGATGCAGAACTTTGGTAGAAGGCTATGACGTCTGAGATAGAGTCCATGTACTCTAATAAGTTTGGGAACTTGTAGAACCACCCCACGGGATAAAACCCATTGGATGCAAGTGGGTCTATAAGAAGAAGAGATGATCGGACAGTAAGATGGAAACCTTTAAGGCAAGACTTGTTGCGACAAGGTTTACTCAGAAAGAGGGAATCAATTATAAGTAAACTTTTTTGCTAGTAGCTATGCTAAAGTTGATTTAAATTCTCTTATCGATTGTGGCTCATCTTGATTACGATATTTGACAAATGAACATAAAGACAGCATTCCTTAACAGGCATCTTGACAAGTGCATCTATATGGTGCAACCAGATGGATATGTATCAAAGGGCCAAGAACATCTAGTGTGTAAGCTTAAGAGGTCCATTTATGGTCTTCAACAGGCATCTAGATCTTGGAATATTCATTTTGATCCAAATATTGAATCTTATGATTTTGATCAATGCCTAGATAAGTCATATACATACATACATACATAAAACGTGACAGAAACGTGGTGTTCTTCTTAGTACTTTACGTTGATGATATCTTAATCATCGAAAACAATGTGGAGGTGTTATATTCTATTAAGGTATGGTTATTCAATCAGTTCGGTACGAAGGATTTGGGAGAAGCATGCCACATCTTTGGGATGAAGCTTATGTGAGATCGCAAGGATAGGACATTAGGCTTATCTAAGACTACCTATATCAATACCATTCTAACCCATTTTAGCATGCAAATTTCCAAGAAGGGATTTCTTCCTTTTAGACATGGAGTTTCTCTATCAAATAAGTAGTATCCTAAGACACATAAAGAGATAGAGAGCATGAAGTCGATTCCTTATGCTTCGACAATGGGAAGTCTCGTGTATGTTATGCTTTGCACTGGACTTGATATTTTGTTTTGTCGTTGTCCTGGTTAGTAGATATCAGTCTAACCCTGCATAAAAACATTGGACTACGCTAAAATATATTCTCAAGTACTTGAAAAAAGGACAAGAGATTGTATGTTGGTTTACCAGACAAATAGTCTAATACCTTTTGGGTACACAGACTCTGTTTTTCAGTCAAATAAAGATTTCAGGAAGTCTACCTCTGGATATGTGTTTACTCTATGAGGTGGAGCCGTAAGTTGGAGGAGTATCAAGCAATCTTATATTGCTAATTCCATCATGGAGGCCGAATACGTGGCAGCCTCTAAGGCAACCAAAGAGGTAGTTTGGCTCAAAAACTTCCTTATGGATTTAGAAGTGGTACCTTCAGTAAGATCAACTATTATACTTTATTGTGTCAGTAGCGGACCGGTTGCAAATTTCAAATGAACTATGAACCCACAAGAAGGGGAAACACATTAAGCGTAAGTACCACCTCATACGAGACATCGTGGAAAGAGGTGATATATTAGTGACCAAGATTGCATCAACAAACAACCTAACATATCCTTTCACAAAGAGTTTACCAGCAAAAATTTTTGACAGTCACATGGAGGGAATGGGAGTTAGATGCATGGTAGCATGGTTTTGAGTATAAGTGGGAGAATTTATAGAGTTATATATTACAAACTTATTTTTTGTAATGAAATTTGGTTTATTATTTAATAAAAGTTCTTTGTTGTCTATTTCAATGAGAATATATGTGGGTAAAATATTTACATTATATTAAATATATGATATGCCTTTGTCTTTTATTTTACATTGTAGATAATTTAATGTATAGAGTTCGGCTTATACAAAAAAGATCAGATTACTAGATCATTGTATAATATAAGTAAAGGTTCACAGTCTTAAAAGGAATTAGACACACCATCAATAGGATTGTAATGCAATCTTTTGACATAGTCTGTCTTGACTATAAGAGACCGTCTAATATTTCGGATTGTTATACTAATACACTTTGTATATTGAACTGGACCATTCTTGAGGTTATTTTATTTTTATTAACTAATTAAAAAAATAAATGCCTCATGATTATTATGATTGTTTAAACTCTTAATCCTGAGATATTTAATTGACACATGCAAATAATGATTGTTACTTTAATTCATCAAAAAGTGAGATTCATAATTAAGTCAAAAAATTCAGTGAATTGGGAGATAACATTATTTATATGATGAAAATTAATTATTAAAGAAAACGACACCCCCGGTATTTAAATTAGTTGATGATGACTTCTTGAGGAAGCTCATAAGTTTTATTCATGTCAAACCCTACAAGTGAATTTAATTATTCAACAAAAAAAAATAAATTGAGTGGTAAGATCGCAAGGATAAAAATTACTCAATTAAATATAATTGTTGGTAATTTAATTAGCTAACGGATATCTGTAATCTTAAATATAGGGAGATTATTAAGCATATAATAATGAATAGCTCGAAATATAATTTTGAGATAAAGTCCAAGAGATCAATAATAAATTTTAATAGACTAAATTATTATTAATGGACCATAGGATATTTGTTTTGGGTTAGACATAGGATTTTTATGCCCATTCGAAGCCTAACCCTTATTTCTCCTAAAGATCTCTACTGTAACCTATAAATAAACACACCCTCTAATTCTCTTAGTCATAATCTTCACCTTCACATTTAAAAGAGGCAAAGAGAAAGCAAGGAAGAGAATTTGGAGGTTTGCAACCCGCACTGCATTTGAATTTTGAAGTGAAAGAATATACGATAGAAAATCATGAGATCTATCGAGCCTATTGTTCGATCTACATCTGTTCTTTGTTCGTGCGAATCTAATTGTCAAAAATAAACACTAATTCCACCTTGTAGGGTTAATAAACGGGAAAAAAATTGCATTTGATTATACGTGCCGTCAACAGATCTTGGGACTACCATTCCAACAACTGATGCATCAATATACACGCTTCCTAAAACATGGTAACTCTATGAGGACTGATTTGATGGTGATGTATTTTGTAGACCAAATATATTCGGTGTGTAAGTTCTTGATAATCGACCTACGTAATTGAGATATTCTTGATATAAGCTATTGGTTTCTAAATGATTCTACTATACTCTAGATTTACTATATACATATCGAAACTTGAGATCATTAACAATGTCATATGTTTTATTTCAAAAATTATATATTTATTTTAAAAATTGGACTCTCCTGCTTTTATTCATTTTGTATACTTTGTTTAAGTTTGTGAAAATTTCTTTACTAGGCTATAGTTGTGCTCACCCCTTTCTTAATATTCCTCATTTGGATGTTGAGAGTGATGTCAGCTTAGGTGAGCACGTGGATTTTGAGTTTGAAACATATTAAAATGTGGATCCAAATGTCAAGGTGTAAAGCTTGATTTATTAGTTTAATCTCATTGTTTTGATGATTGAATAATGTACATAAATATTATTTAGTTAGAGGGGAGATAATTGTTTTTTATGTTTTAAGGAGTTTGGATGTAAATATTTAATGGTTGATTTATGTTTTGAAAATTTTTCATTAGATGATGTTAGATATCGTTGTTTTGATTTATTAATTATATTAATAGATATGCTTTCATAATTTTAAAGGTTATTACTTAGTTTACGACTGTTTATGAAAATGGGGTGTGACAATCATGATGTGTGAGGCTTCTAAGAATGATAAAAAAGCCCGAGTCATCCTACTAAAATTAAACACCACTTAGAACAACTGTATGCAATAAACCTATTCGTACTTGTACCCTCATGTCATGTGTAACTGAGCCTCTAAGTAGCCAGTGCAGGTGTTAGAACCAGATTAACACTAGACAGCACAGTTCCCTTGGGGGCAAACATTTTCTTGATGAACATCAAGTCCAGGAACAGATATTGGCATCACCAACTTAAATTATGTGTAAAATTTGACTGCCCCGATCCTCGTCTCAGTTTACTCTTCTCCACCTTTGCCAACTTTGCTTTACTCTCTCAGCGGAGAGTGGAAACAACATAGAAACCAGGGTATACAATCGTTTATTTGTCATGTTGAACTTAAAAAAACAGTGAAAGAAATGTAACATACTTTTTTCTTTAATCCAAATATCAGGTAGAACATTTCTAAACAATGATAAATATCATGAATGTGACTTCCTTGTTTCATGTTACAACGTTGATTTATATTATCATTATGTGTAGGCAACAAACAAAGCATTATAGACAAAACTTCCATGTTCAGTTTCTAACAGATCGTTAAAAAAAAAAATTGATGAATGCAAATGCATGATGTCTAAGAACGTAACGAGCAAAGGATTAGAAGTCTTTGGATTGAGTAATCCAATAGATACTATACAAACTTGGGAATCAGGGGTGGGCATATTTCTATGCGAGAATATCACAGTATTTGCTTGATACAACATTATGACACCAATGATTTCAATTAAATAAATGTAGAAAACAATACAAAGCAGGCTTTACAAAGTTGTCCTTAAAAACTGTACAACAAAATAGAGAACCGCAAGAAACAGGGCAATTTGGAATGCATCTCTTTGGAAACTGTCATCCCTTTGAAAGAACTGAATCATAGAACATAAAATGACAAATCAGCAAGAAGTAGAGCCTGATCCTTTTACAAACATAAAAAATTGCTGAAATGGATAGGAATATACTACGTCGGAAAGTGTAAAGAATCTTGTTTATGGTGCAATATATTCCTTTTAGTGGTCCAAATATCTAAGTAATACAGTAATCCTTTGGCAAAAAATTGAAGTTCCCTAAAATGTACAGGAAACATCCAAATCAAGAGTGCTAAGAGTCTAATTTTGTCCCGTAGTCTTGAAGTTATAAAGAGGGTGTCCAGATTCTATGTCAAGCTCCTGCTACAATTGTTAAACTATCAACTCGTCTAAAAGCTTAAACTATTTAAGAGGTTATATACCTCAGCAGGAAATGCAAAAAGATACAAACCAAATCCAGAAATGTCTACGAGTTCCTGCAGTCCACTACAAGTGGATGCAGAATTAGTGTGATTTCGCCAAATAACATGACATATGGCAAGGGAGTCACATTTGACAAGTAAGGTTACAATAATATAGCTTTGCCCTTCTAGAATGAGGTCCAAGTGGGAAAATAATTACAGGAAAAGTATAATATCAGTTCTGTTTGAATTCAATATAATCAAGGAGTAAGATTTATTTCAATGTTGATGAAGAGGCAGGAAGCCTCCTTTTTTGGTGTTTTAAGAATTCTTTGTTTCTAAGACAAGGTCTTATAATATCTACTCCGGATTTAAACATTTCCTCCATTAAGGCAGTTTCTTTATTCATCAGAAAAAGAAAAAAATTTCAGTTCGTTAGATTCTAAGCAATCATGATATGTGCATGAAGCCAGAAAAAGGAACGGAAATACGGATTCTTGAAAAAATTACCTTCGTTGGATCACCAGAAGGGTCTGGATAAATCTCCAGATTCTCTTTCTCTGCTGAAAATCGCTTAGTTAAGTCCTTCACAAGGTCAGCGACATCTTTTCCAGCCTCAATTGTAGCAAAAAGACGACGTGAGATCCAGAAAAATGTCTGGGGCATCATTGATGATGCCGATAAATCCCAAAACTCTTCATGCACGATCACTTGGCCACTAATCTGGTTCAGAGTGAATTGTGAATTCACTTTAATAATCAAATCTCCTCCTATATTTGCAAGCAAAGATTTAGGCTTCCCTTTTATTGTCCACTTGATACTCAGAACACTAGTTGACAACATCACCATTTCTTGCACATTCTGTAATTCCAAGAGGATGAGGAAAAAATAAAATTTAGGTAAATGTAATGAATAATCATTGATATTGTAGATTTTGGGCAAAATAGCCCATTTATAAAAGTGATCATTAGAGATATGAGAACAATGGAGTGCAGACACAAGATGAGGTGTAAAATGAAGTCAAAATTTGGTTTAAAATGATCTTTTAGTAGATAAGCAAGTTCAATATGAACAAAAAAAGCCAGTCTCTATCTCTTTACCTGAAGCTGACACACATAAAACGCGACACATATATATAGAGAACACACACACACACAGAGACAAGAAGGAAAGTGTAGGTGATAAAAACCTCGTACACTTGACCAAGAGTGATATGGAACCTGAGAGTAAGGTTTTGTTGAGAAACAAGAACGAACAGCACCTTCTAGCTGCAAAACGAGCAAACGTGTTCATTGTCATGTGCTTCTCTTAGCCATGCGCCAATGCCAATTGGAATCATTAAATGGTCTAATTATGCAGTCATTCTATGCCCTTTCACTTGCCCCCAGAGTATGTCCGTGGTACACGTCAGCTGACATTCCCTATCTCCAAGCATACCTTCATTAAATGTTGTGTATTGTTTCCCACAAAAGTGCACTGTACACGTCCTTTCTATCGCAGAAACAGCCAATCGTATTTAATGCACGTCCTCTGTGTTTCAAACGCCGTTTCTTTGGGTCTCTCCCTTTCTTTTTAAAGGGTCACCCTTGTGATTTCTTCTTTAGTTTCTCCATTGTTGCCTCGAAGTTTTCTGAAGCTTTTCTCTTTAAACTTACTGTTTGTTTGCTGCTTTTCCATGGCTCCCTTGACCAAAGAAGAAATTCCTAGCATCAAGTACAAATATAAGATCCCCGACAATGTTAATATTCGTGTGGCTAGTAAGGATGAGCCTCTTCTTGGCCCCACTAAATCGATCCCCATTCATACCAGAGCCCTCACTGAAGGTCGCGTAAGATTCCCCCTCCACCCTTTTCTTTTGTGGGTGCTTTCGACTTGGAAGTTGTGCTCCATTTAGTGCTGCCCCAACTTTTTCAGAATTATGATGGGGGTAGTTACACTGAACAACCTTCTGAAGGTTGATTTGGGTTGTAGGAGATCATTTATTGCTACATCATCAAGCCGGTGGTTGACAACATCTATTAATTCACGGTGAGAAAGAAGGATCCCTACCTAGTCACCCACCTTCCTGACTCAAATATGGGTCATGAAAATGACATCATCTTTGCTTCTGGGAACTAGGCGCATAAAGCTGGCGAGGTGTCTCGATATCAATGCCCCTTTGAAGACAGTGCACCAGGTATTTGTTTTCTGGCTTTGCTGCTAATTTTTCTTCATTTTCTTTATCCTTCTGAAGCATTTTATTCCTTCTAGGTGAAACCATAGTTATCAAAACGTATGATTTGCGATTCAATTCGTAGAATTCAATCCGATTAAGTCCCCATTCAATTTGTATCTTCCTATAGAATTATTTTTTGTTGAAAATCACAATTGAATCGTAAGAATCGTACAATTCAATTCGAATCAAAGGAATCGCATGATTCATTTTATTATTATTTTTAACGTAATTTCTAGTAAAACAACGTCGTTTTGACTGTTAGATAGTCAAAACGACATCGTTTTGCTAAAAGAGGTCCTCCCCCAAATATTATTAATATATACATGTTATTTTTTACCATTGTTTAAATTTGTGTCAAATCTTACGATTGCTTATTCTCAAATCTAAGATTTCGATTCCTGATACGAATTTCGATTTGATATTTAAAATAGACAAGATATTAAATATTAAATATTATTATATTTTAAAAATAATCAATCGACGGTATTTGACATGATCACGTCATCTAAATGGAAAGATGCTAGCCTTTATAAATCTTTATAAACCTACACTTAAGTGTGTACCTCTGTTACTTCTTACTTAATCCATAATAAATTGTTCCCTCAAAATGGCCATAATGAATGTATTGCATAATTTTTAATCGATAAATAACTATTGTCTTCCTACCAATGAAGTTAAACAAATAGCTACTGTCTTCATACAGATTCAAGCAGTGTTTTGAAAAGCTCGCCTAGGAGAGAAGTGAGGCGAAGCGAGGTCTTCTCGCCTTGAACACCCCAGGCAAAGCGAATGTGACTAAAGCGATAGAAAAGCGAGAAAAATGAGCGCCTTGAGGTTAAGCGAAAGACGAAAAAGCAAGCACCTTAGTTATGCGAGGCGAGCTTGTGTTTTATTTTTACTATGGACCGTTTGATTGTTTTATTTTTATTGTGGACCGTTGGATTGGGGCAATTGAAAAAAAAATTATAAAATACCCATACACCCAATTACCCCCTTATCCCATAAATATAAACGATCGACTGCTACTCCTTCCTCTCCCATCGATTGCTGCTGCTCATCTGCTCCTTCCTCGCTGGTGACAAGTTTGTCTCTTCTTTTTCTTTTCTCTTCTAGTTCTCTTCTTCTTCTCTGCTTTTGCTGCTGCTTCTTCTCTTCTAGTCCTCTTTTTCTTTTTCTTCTCTTCTTCTACTTCTCTGGTTCTCATATTTTTCTTTTCTCTTCTGCTCTTCTGGTTCTCAGATGGTCTGCTACTACTGTTTTTTTTCCCTGCTTCTGCTAATGTCTGATAATGGTGTAATTTTTTTTTTCTTCTTCTCTCTTCTATTTTTTGTTTCTGTTGCTTCTATTTTTTTTTCTCTGGTTCTGCTGATGTCTAATAGTGCTGTAATTTTTTTTCTACTCCTATTTATTTTCTTCTTCTCTCTTCTGTTTACTATTTATGCTGCTTCTGTTTTGTTTTTCCTACTTCTGCTGATGTCTGATAGTGCTATAATTTTTTTTTCTACTTCTATTTTTTTCTAGCTTCTGCTAATTTCTGATAGTGTTGTAATTTTTTTTTCTGCTTCTATTTTTTTTCTTTTTCTCTCTTCTGTTTTCTGTTTCTGCTGCTTATGTTTTTTTTTCTTGCTTCTGCTGATGTCTAATATCTGATAGTGCTATAAATTTTTTTTTCTGCTTTTGCTGATTAATGATGAATGTTGCTTCTGCTGATGTCTGATATCTTTAGTTGCTTGAATTGTGTGTCTTTTGTTTTTAAATATTATGATTTGAGATATTATTAGTATTTATTTGAATTTAAATGTTTAAACTATGACTGTTATTAAGATTTGAGATATTATTAGTATTTATTTTAATTTAAATATTTATAGTTTTACTTGCATTTAAATATTTAGTATATATAAAATTAAAACTTAGATGTTTAGAAGTAATTAAACTAAAATATTTACTTTTTTTTTAACTGTTCGCTTCGCTTCGGTAAGCGTTTCGCTTCGTTTCGCGCTCTCACCTAGGCGTTAAGAGCCTTGGTCGCTTCGGTTCGCTTTACGCCTTAAATAACACCGGATTCAAGCATGTAAACTTAGAAAATCACTTCCCACATTAGATTGAAAAATAAATTTTTGATGAAAAACAAAAAACAGAACATTTATTTGAGAAAAAAAAAGTAGGGTATGTTAAGATTTGGTAGCTGTTTTTTAATAAGAAGAAGATGCATACCTGGAACAAAGGAGACGTCGTCTTTGTGTGATGTTCACAGGCGCTTGAGAGGCAGAGGCAAGAACAAGAGATACAAAGAGAGATGCGAGTTTTATATTTCAAGGTGGGTCTCTTCTAGCAAAACGATGTCATTTTGACTATCTAACAGTCAAAACGAAGTCATTTTACTAGAAATAGGTTAAAAATAATAAAAAAAAAATCATGTGATTCCTTCGATTGAATCAAATCGTACGATTCACGTGCGACTTTCAACCAAAAATGATTCTATAGTAAGATACGAATCGAATGGGAAACAAATTGAATCGAATCGCAAATTGTATGATTTTGATAATAATGATTGAAACTGTTAAGGGTAAAGTTCCTTAGTGATCAATGAAGATGGAAAACTTGAAAAAGATCTGATCCTTCAACGATAACCTCTTATGTCGATCTACTCATGTTATCCTCAACTATTCTTTGACCTACCATTCTTTTACTGTCGTTCCAAATCGTCCTAATGCGAGCCTTGTCGAAGATCGAGAAGCAATCAGGGCTCAGCATGCTTCAACTCCTCGATCTCATACGAGGTTAAGCTCTACAATTTCTAGAAGAGGCACGCCTATGAGGAATTTTTTTAACTTTCTCAACCAGGTTAGTACCTCTAACATTGTTCCTTCTGTACCTACCAATCAGCCTGTACCCCAAGTCTCACCTCCTAACCATGTTCATTGTTGTTCCGAATGATAACCCAGTTGAAGTCACCCGAAGTCCCCTTTCCAACATCCCTAAAAGTCTAACAGTCCTAGTGCCTCCATCTCCCACTCCTACCAAGAAATCGTCCTCCGAAGACGAGGACTCCTTAACTATAACACTAGGTGACGCAAACATGTCGCCAAGAAAAGGATGGTTGAAGAGAGTGGTCTATCCGGCCCTAGGTTTCTGCCTTTTGCCCTACTTTGAAGGCTAAAGGTTGGGAAATCATCGTAAGTGATTACATAGTGGAGGACGTGAATGTGGCGGTTGGGATTGCTCAAGGGTGATTCTCCCCTATGATTTGGATGTCAATGAGTAGATGACCAATGATGAGATCACTCGAAGTGCCAACCAGCAGATGGTGTTGGTAAGATGCATTATTTCTTTATTACTTCTTTCTATTTTTCTTTTTTTTTCTATTTTCTAAGTACCAGTTCCTTTGCAAAGTCTCCAACGAGTTTATGAGGTTGAAGCACAAATCATGAAGAAGGATAAGGCCTTGAAGTAAGGTTATCTACAATCGGATGACCACTTTGGAGAAAAATGAGACTCTAGATGTCAAAGTTTCCAAGCGTTGGAAAGAGGGGCTCATTTTTCAGGCCCAAATGACTAAGCTTCTCTGAATGATGATTTGACATGAGTTTTCCAAGACCCAAGAGGAAAACGCTTCTCTCCTCAAAGAATTTGAAGTCTTTAAAGCCAAATCCAAAGCTTGGGCTTTTGAGGATGGCATAGAGAAGGCCGAGCAAGAGCTTGCTCAACAAGTTTTGTTATCGAGGTGGGGCGTTGTTCCGAAACAGGGAACCCGATGTGGATCTTCCCTCACCATTATACACGTGGAACAATAAACACTTTACCTAGAGTGGGTTGAATAGATTTTTCAATATTAACTCAATTGATTACCAATTAAACTTAACCCACCACAATTACCTCATCTCATAAAGATATAACAATGAATGTGAGAATCCTTGCAGTCACCACAACCTACTTTGACAATGACGATTGATTTAATTAATCTTCAAATAATTCGCTCGTAATCAATCTCACGTCAATCTCAAAACCCAAACTCAATTGCACATCTACGATTGAATGAATATCAAACAATCAAATCAACAAACACATAGTGCACATGTGTGCTAAAAATCACAAGTATATAAGATAAATAATAAAAGTAGAGACCTCCCAATCAGTACGTGGGAAAACTTCTACGTGTGTATTGCCTTGTCGGGCATCATCCCAAGGATGATACATTCCCAACAATATGTTATCAGGATCTTTGTGATCCTCCTTTGAGCTTCTAGTGGCGTCTTCCCTAATATTGCTATCTAACGGTAGGGAGACCCGATAATTCTGTGCGAGTTCATATTCATTAAACCATTGGTTGTTGCGTGGTGATCCAAGAATGCTTTGTAGATTTGACATGACTGTTTTTGTTCGCTTCCCCGGCAACAGCGCCAATTGTAGGTGATAAAAACCTTGTACCCTTGACCAAGAGTGGTATGGAACTTGAGTGGAAGGTTTTGTTGAGAAACACGAACGAACAGCACCTTGTACCGGCAAAACGTGCAAACTGCCGGGGATCGGGGCTAAACCAGTCGGAGGCACTCCAATACTAAAGTTAGTAAAGATTTCTGAGAGTAAGTAAAAGAATTGTAGGAAAGAGAATGCATACCCAAGACTTGAGCTTCTCCTGATATTTATAATGGTCT